TTACTATTGATAGTAGCATAGATATTAGATTACCCATACCACCCAAACTGGAATTAGTTTGACGAGAATTGATCGGTGGAATTTCTTTAAAGGCATCGGGGAAACAGGTAGGAGATACTGGAGGTAAGTCGGGAAGCGGAAGATCTTCTGTAATATATTCCTTGACATCATTTTCAGAGTAGGTATCTGGTGTAACAATAGGAGCATTATACTTTGGTATCTCACTTCCCTGTGAGGGATCAAATAATGCAATTGGATAGTTTATCAAGCTTTTCTCGATAGCCTGATCATTGAACTCTGATATAGTCTTGTTGTTGGTACCACCCAAACATGGTATTGTGTCGTTTTTAGGATTAGTATTGATTTGGCGATGTGAATCTGAATCGCTCACTTGATCGTGATCATTGGATTTATTCGATTGTTGCGTGACAGGGCCGTGCACAGGGGTATCGATTGATACATCTGATCTATTCATACCACCCAAACAGGCATTGTCTGGATCAGGAATATTGGGTATGTTATGCCTCTTCTTTGACGGAAGAATATTTGATTCAGATATATTAGGGTCAACTTCTTTGGGTGCACGAGCATTAGTTGTAGGTACAGATTCCAATCTCGTTGGTTGAGTAGGAGTTGATGGCGAACCAGTTGCAATCAGATCTGTGGATCTGTCATCTCCCCGGAGTTCAGTGTCATGATCTATCTCAGATTGAAAATCATGATTAGGATCCATGTGAAGGTCGTAGGACTGTTCGAGTTCATTCGAATCAATAAACGATTTATATGAAGCAGTTAGTCTACTTATGTCATCATCAAAGGTAAGGGCGTCGTAATTGAATTGGTCCAATCGGGATTGCTTGTCTTGCAGGATAACGTAATTGGTAGTGTCCACTGTCTTCCTTAAAGATGGAAGATAGATAATATATCCATAAGAGTTCCGGGATGGATGTAGAGCGTAGCCAGGAATGCCACGGGGATGTATTTTCGAATCAGGATTGTGATTATTGACTACCACAGGTTGACCAAATGGTAGTAAAGTACTGATGTCAAGTCCCGCTAAACCCGCGTGTTGCCGTGCAGATTTTTCGTTTTAGGTGAAACTAAAGAGTTCCTGACTATGGTTGAGAATTCCACTGCGGAAAACCATAAATGATTTGGTAAGCCACTGCATTGAAGCTGTGTGCGACAATCGTCTAGTAAAGTACGGTTCAATCGTTCAGCTACACCATGAGCTCGAGAGTCTGCTGTGGTTGTATAGCATGCAGTGATGCCTTGTTGAAGAAGGAATTTATGGAGAGTTTTGTTTGTGTATTCAGAACCACGGTCCATTTGTATAACCAAGACGCTGGCCTTGAATTGTCTTTCAATGAAGGCTAGTATTGTGGTAAATACCTCGAGAATAGATTGTTCGCGACGATCGTGTAATGGATAAACCCATTGAAATCTTGTTTTCTCGTCGGTAAATGTTATGAAGTAGGATGGTGCACTTTTTGGCAGGTTGTGAACAGGACCGAATATGTCGGTATGCAGATATTGGAAAGGTTCATACGAGTTTTGGTATTTTACTCGTGATCCCTTGACATGTCTGTGTTTAGTACTTTTGCCGATTAAGCAATCTGGGCATTGGT